GTTTACCTGTGCACACCTGATCAGTGAGAAAACAAAGTAAACAAACCTGAACAAAGAGACAAAAAAAAAACCCTAAAAACGACAAAAACATAAAAGGAAGAACTGTCTCTCTAAGCTCTTCCTGAAATGTTTGAATCCTCGTTCCAATCAGCTCCTTCAGCCTCTGATCACCTCCATATGTCTGCTGGAGCTTTATTCTAACATTGAACCTGCAGGAGGTCCAGATGTTCTCATGAACCAGTTTTAGTGAGTTAGTCTTAGCACAGCACGAGCTGATCTCCAATCCTGTGTTCACATTTCACTTTCCAAACCCTCCTCCATGCATTCAGCTTCTACTGTTTCCTCTCTGATGAACAGGATGGAAACCGCTGAGGAGCTCTGAGATGGTGATGCTCTTTCTTAAACTCCTCTGTCAGCAGCATCTAAGCAGCTTTTTGTGGTGTCAGTAAGTCAATAATGAGCTTTTATGTTAAACACCTGGAGATGCTTAAAGACGTGTTTTTTGTTCAGATTAACTTTATCTGTTAGTTCTTCAGAGAACACAAGAATATGAGAATCTGTTCTCCACACGAATGTGGGTAGTTGAGCTTCTTATTCTTGTGTGGGTTCTCTCCTGGTTCTCAGATTTCCTTCCCCAGTCCAAGTCCTGACTGAGCCTGAGTGCTGATCCATCTCTATGTTAACCCTGTGATAAACTGGAGACCTGTCAATGTGTACCTGGTGTCACCTATAGCTCAGATAATCTCCTCCCCCAGCAAGACTAAATTAAATAAGAGTGAAACAGATGGATGGATGTATTCTAAACTTTGTTTGGTCAATATTTTCTTTTTGGTAACAACTGTTCCTGTAATATTGGAAAGTCTGTTTTTTTGGGGGGGGGTTTTTTCTAAATGGTGCCACATTTGTAGAGAAAAGGCATTCGTGGGTTGAGCAACAGAGTTCAGTTATGTGGGCTGTACCCATGACAAACCAAATCTTCTCTGCCAATGCTAAACAGCTGCTATTGACTCTCTTTTGTGTAACATATATTGGATCGGATGATTGAAGTCTGAAGAAACAAGACATGTTTAAGAGTTTATTTACTGAACTGAACAATCAGGGGCCTCACGAGCATCTGTACAAACCACACAGAGCCACAACAGCCTGGCACCTCCTCATCACACTGGTCACCAGCTTGGTCACAGACTGGTGAAATCCCATTCATCAAAGGGCAGATTGCTTACGCTTGATTGATGAGTGACCAGGATGAATGAATGCTGCTGAACAGTAACTTCACATCAGTAGAGTTACTGAAAGAACTTGTGATTTGCATCATGCTGTCTGCCTATTGAGTCGTACAGCACAGGCTAAACAGGATCTTAAAAATTAATAAATTACATTCAGCCAATCGGAGCTTGAATAGACTCACCTCCCACAGGTAAATGGCCTCAGCGACTCCAGCAGCAAGAAAGAGTCCATTAGGTGAAGCAGAAAGACAAGTGACCACACCGGGACACACGATCTTCTGCTGCAGCTGATCCTGAACAACAAAAGAACAAGTGGGTGTGTCTACGAGGGAAGATCAACATATCCAGGCTTACTCTGTTCGCTGGCTTAACAAAATTTAAAAAGCCCAGTCAGAGATTATCAGAGACCATGAATATCAGAACATGGGCATCAGCTTGGTGTTTAACCCCCCATCTTCTTTTCTGCTTTAGGCTCTGAGCATGATCAGACATTCAATTTTCACTTCAATACCATTTTATTTATATACATCACCAAATCACAGCAACAGTTGCCCTAAGGTAATGCCATCCAGGTACCACACTTCATGGAGCTGTATACATTTCAGAGCTCTGATGTGTCACATTAGAAACAAACATAAACCCCAGCAAACATTTTTATTGTGACGCTTTGTGTGCTTCTGATGATTGGGTATTTCCAGCAGCATTTCTTTTTATTTTCTTTAAAGACATCTATCAGAGTTGCTACAGGAAATTAAAAGAGGAAACGCAGTGTGAATAACATTTTTGCTACCAAAATAAAACTAGATCAAATACAATAAAGCAAGAACTGAAAACAATATTTGATGATCTCCATTATGCGCTGAGCAGTTCAGATTACCCGAGGTCCCTGAGCGGGTCCTGGAGAGCGCCACATCTGGAGACTATTGTCCTACTTCTTTAACGCCCCTCCAAGCACCAGCACAGCTGCTCCTCTGATAGGAGGACATGGGGCTTAGTTGATGCATTTTGTGGAACATGACCCAGTGGTCTTAGCTAACTATAGGCCAATCTCCAACCTTCCTTTCATATCAAAAACACTTGAAAAAGTAGTTGTCAAACATCTCTGATCATCTGCAGAGAAATGGCTTATTTGAAGAGTTTCAATCAGGTTTCAGAGCTCATCACAGCACAAAAACAGCTTTAGTGAAGGTTACAAATGATCGTCTTATGGCCTCTGACAGTGGACTCATCTTTCTGCTTGTCCTGCTATACCTCAGTGCAGTGTTCGATACTATCCAATCCATGAAGCCTGATAACACACACCAAGTAGTTAAACTGCAGGACTGTCTTAAAGATAAAGACCTGGATGACCTCTAATTTTCTGCTTCCAAATTCAGATATCAAACTGAGGTGATGGAACCTTCAAGGGAAAGTCAGACACAGGTCAGCAAGGTTCAAACAACAGGTGATCAGCGACCATCACCACAGTGACCTGCAGCACACCCTCAACACTGAAAACGGCTCTGCGTACCTGCTGTACCACCAGGTGTGTCCATGTTACATTTGAGCAGCAGGCTTTCAAGGTAGAATGCTTCACAGAGAAACTGCACATCTGTAGGATGTCTCAACAACACCTGTGTGTACTAACACAGCAGTCTGTGCGAAAACACGTGGACTCACGAATCAGCTTTAACGCTGAGCTGCAGCCATCACACAGTTAAGGTGTGAGGACAGATAAACGGGATTCGGTAGGGGGTTCGAGTGGTTCTGACAACGGCTCTACTTTTTCTTTTTCACAGAATTAAAGTGTCAGCTTTCTAAACGCTTTGTTTACACCTTTAGAGGGACTGCGGGTTTTTGAGCCCCTGTCCGCGCTGAGCGGCGGAGCGTTACTTTGGTGACTCTCGCCTAGTGAGCGAGGTGGGCTCAGGTGAGCTCAGCTGGGCCAGGTGCTGTCCTACCTTTCTCTGCAGCTCCCACACGTTGATGAAGTTCTTGCCGAGCTGCGCGGACAGCAGGTACTCCCCGCCGAGCACCGTGAGGCTGCGCGCGCCGCTGTTCCCGCCGCGGTACGAGAGCAGACTGGAGCCGCTGTGCGGGTCGAACACGGTGCAGTTCCACAGCTGGGACCCCGAATCGCTGCTCAGCAGGACCTCCAGAGGAGCCGCCATCATCCACACACACACCGGCCACCGCCGTACACTCTACGTCACGTCCGAGACCGATACGTCACGTCCGGGCGCGGTGCACTGTGGGAGATGTAGGGACAGGCTCTATTTAGAAACACCTGTTTTTCTCCAAATATATTTAACACAAGTAAAAATAAAACTTAGAGCACGGGAGGCGTTATTTATACAAACATTCTAAACAAATGATAAATCATTCAGGTTTTTACTCACCTGAAAGCAAATATGAATATTTTGCATAATTAAACCTCCATTTTAAGAACCGCACATTTTTACCCCTCAACCATAAAAGGCTGATGGGGTATGATCATCCCCCTGCTGGGAGGCCAGCGTGGACACCGAGGTTTGTGAATGCGATAACTCAAGAACATATTGGAGTTTTAATTCGACAGCGCAGGTGTCGCTACAAAAATCTTGGACGAGTTCAAATCTCAAAAGAATATCCTTAAGCTCTTTGGAAACTTTATTTATACACTGACACACATTACATCCTGTCTTTCAAAGCGAACATTCCTGCGTTCCACCCGCTCATTTGGCAGCATACGTGCCGTCACGGATAAACTGTGCCCCCTTGTGGTGACAACTAAAATACTGCGTCTCAGTCAAACAATAACACGAATGCAGTCCAACACATTTCACAACTTGAGTACACAAATTAAATATCTCAACAAGCTTTCTCGTTTCTAGACTGATAAAACCATGATGATTTTATTTTATTGCGCTTTCATTGAATCCGTTTTATCTTTTCTTTGGTGTTGTGGTTATCTGTAAAGAAAAGGAACCACATCTGAACCTAACATGCCTTTACAGACAGTTACAGTGGCTGGCCGGTTCACTTTTCTGGACTCAAACCCTTTGCACAGTGAATTTCAGTTTCAATCAGTCAGTGAAGCAACATTAGGTCTCTATATTCTCTATCCTTGTTACTACTTGAATTAATAATTGATCAAGACACTGATTGATTACAGAAACCTGGTTACAGTAGGATGATTATAATAGTTTAAATAAATCAACACCCCTGAGTTAACTGTCAGAATCCTCTTAACACAGGACGATGAGAGGGTGTGGCAGGCTGCAATCTTTTCCTCCAGCTTATTGATCCACCAAAGACCCAGACAGAATTTTAATTCATTTGAAAGCCTGACACTTACCCATGTCTAAATTTAAAATATAGTTTTATTTGTTGTTATCTATCGTCCAACATGGGCCTTACTTAAAGTATTGTCTGATTTCTCAGACCTTTATCTGATTTAGTGCTCAGATAAATATATTATTTTGGTTGATATTTAACATCACTTCAATTCAAGTTAGTTTTATATATATATAGCACCAAATCACAACAACAGTTGACTCAAAGCATTTAATATTGTAGGCTAAAGACATTCCCATTATACAGAGAAACCCCAAAAATCTCCTCCAGCAGAACCATGCTCTGGGAGGGGCTGCCGTCTACCGCAACCACTTGGGGGTGAGGGAACGTAGACAGGACAAAAGGCATGCTGTGGAAGAGAGCAAGACATGATCGATAACTCGTAGTTAAATGGAGAGTAGTGTATAAAGCACATGGTGAGTTAAAAGAGGTAAGAGCAGGAGAAGTGCTCACTGCATCATGGGAAACCAGCAGTCTGAGAGTGACGTGCTGTATTGGGGTGATATGGTACTATAAAGTCTTTAAGATAAAATAATGGGCCTGATTATTCAAGACCTTGTATGTGAAGAGAATGATTTTAAATTTTAAATCCATTCTGGATTTAACAGGCAGCCAGTGAAGAGCCAGTATGGGAGTAAAATGCCATTTGTTTCTAGTCCCTGTCAGTACTCTTGCTGAAGCATTTTGAACCAACTGAATGCTTTTCATAGAGTTTTTAGGACATTCTGACAATAACAAATTACACTAGTCCAGCCTAGAAGTAATAAATGCATAAACAAGTTTTTCAGCATCACTCTGAGCCAAGATGTTTCTAATTTTAGAGCTATTGTGCAAATGGAAGAAAGCAGTCATAAATATTTGTATAATGTGCATATTAAAGGGCATATCCTGGTCAAAAACGACACCAAAATTCCACACAGTGTCGCTGGAGGCCAAGGTAATGCCATCCAGAGTAAGAATCTGGTTAGATACCATATTTCTATTTTTAGGGCCAACCACAATAACCTCAGTTTTATCTGAATTTGCCATGGACATGAGAAATGTCCATGGCAAGCAGGAAATTAGATGTGATCCAGGGTTTTGTGTCTGTAAGACATGTACTTTTAGCTTTATAGTCACAGAATAAATGATCTGAACAAGTTCAGAAATGCTTTTAGCCTAAATAATAGAATAGAATAGCCTTTTATTGATATTGTTCATGTACAATATGATTGTAAAACATCTTAATAAAAAGTAGCTTTTATCTCTAGGTAAAATACAACTTTTTAACATCTACCCCTGGGAGATGAACAGGAGAAGTGGCCTGTCTAGGAGTAGACTGTGTGTGTGTGTGTGTGTGTTTTAAAACTATATACGACAATTCTTGGTAACAGGTGGTGGCATCCCTAGTAGCCCTGAAACCATAGAGTTAAACCTGAAGTTACCATGATAACCAAAAACCCTGCCTCTTGCAGAGTTATGACTCTGCTGTGTGTCATGCTGGTAGAGATAACCCGAAAACTGTGAATTTACATCAGCTGTCAGCAGTCTACCCTACCTGCTCAGGTGTATTGACGGCTGACAACATTTCACAAACGAACACTCAGGAACTAAAAGTATAAAAAAGTACTATCAGTGCTACAAGTACACGATTATTACTTGATCATTACATGAGAACAGGTGGAACAGCACACCTGTACATGTTCCAGGACAACATGAAGGAAACTAATTTTTGTTAAAGCACAAAACCAAAGCACAAAAAAACAGTAGAGAACTACTGTCCTGCTGGAAAATAATGAGGGCCAAAAGTCTGAAAAAGCAGAAATGTCCCCACAGAGTGGGTCAAACACACTGTGCTGATGTAAACAGTCTGTGGGCTCGTCAGTTTAATTAATCCTGACCAGCTGCTCCTGGTAATCCTCCTTCCTCTGTCCCTCTGACCAATCAGAGCACCTGATGTCATCCTCGCTCTTCACCCCTCCTCGTGTGTGTATGTGTTCAGCCTCTTTGTGGTTGACCGGTTGCCGCGGCAGCAGCAGTGTGAGGACGGAGTTTGTATGAAGCGTCGTTGTTTTCCTCTGAGAGGAGACCACAGCCTGCTGACCCCTGACACACACACACTGTGAGTAATACACACATGCATACATGCCGTGAGTAACACACACAATCACACACACACACACCATAAGTAACACACACGCCGTGAGTAATATATACACACACACACACACGTTGACTAACGAAGCTCAAACAGTTTTATGAAGAAGCTGTTCTTTAGTTCTGTGCTCTTAATTACATCATTATGACTTGGTGATTAAATTAACTGCAGAGCAGCTGACTGGTCACCGTTACCTTTAGTGACAAACACCTGAATCTTGTTTTACCAGATAATGGGGAAAAACTAGAAATGGGTTAAACAAACACTGAAATCAAAACACTAAAGAAGTTATTTTTTAAATATATTTTTCTTCACAAAAATAATAAATTATTTTTAAAAAAATAAGGCAAAAAAAGATTGTTTTATGATGAAACAAAAAAAATCGATAAATACTAACTAAAGGCTTCACTGACAAATCTGATTTTGTAGATTACAGTTTTATTTTTAACCTTCTCTCTAAAACCATTAAGAATCAGTTTTTACATGTCTCACTATTTCAGCCTGGGGTTGAGGCAATGTGATCAGGTGCAGTCAGGGGGTGTGGCTCCTCTCTCAGGAGGCTCATCCAGCAGCAAACCCAACACCGCGTCGGCCAGGCAGCGGCCAGCAGCATCTCCGACTCGTCGTCTGCGGTTTGAGGATGAGACGGAAAAGGAGGCGGAATCTCGTTACCTGGAGCGACAGCGGCAGAAGAGACAGACGGGGAACTGCGGAGTTGGTGTGGTGATGTCCAAACCAGACTTGAACCTGTACATCAATGGCACGGCGGAGGCAGGGCACGCGGTCGGCAAGCAGCCAAGGGGGCGAACAGTGGTGAGCAGAGCAGGTCAGAATCACACCTGTGAGAGAGGAATAAGATGCGGAGTCAATCTCTGGCAACACTCACCTGGAACTGACAAGAGGGGGAGCCTAAACAGACAGCACCTTAACCTGCGGACTGAACCAATCAGAGAGACCTACATCGGCTCTGTCACCAGTGTGGAAAAGGATGGGGCTTACACACAGGTGAGACGGCAATCATTGGAGCTAAATGGAGCCCAGGTGACTTTTCATCAAGCCATGCCCTACGCTGGCCTGCCAACCAACCCCTATGCCCCTCACTCAATGGGGCTGTGTACTACCCACCCGCCCAAACTGCACAGAGAGCATCAATTGGGGCCTGAGCCTAGGGAGAGGAGAGGGCGTGAGGTGGAGGAAGATCTGAACAACATGATGAAGAACTCCTCATCCTCCTCAGAGAGGAGCGCAGACACAACAGGTGAGAACTTATCTCCTGAAAAACATTTGCCTACACACTTTGTGTTGAGCTAAGAAATTTACCTGCTAAATCACCACAGTAACTGGTGCTGAAGGCATCGCCTAGTCAGGATCAGGTGATGTTCAGAGTTTGAGTTTAAAATCAGCTGAAGAATTTCCTTTGATTCTTTTATGTGCAGCTTTATGTGCAGTCGATGAAGCTGCGGCAGCTCAGACTGAACATTCCTGTGTTCGTGTGCTGTTGCAGAAAATGTCTAAATGTTGTTCTGCTTGATTATGATCTGCTGCTTAGTCTCTTTCACACTGCTGCAAACACAGAAAACACACCAAGCATAACTGTTCAACAATTTACATTAATTCACGCTGATCTGATTTCCACATCTTCTTAATCACCCTGTGGGACAGGAAGCTTGTATGTTAATGTGGATTCACTGCGATTCCGATCTTAATTTTACCACTCTGTGCCACAAATCACCAGATTAAACAGCTACTGCACCGTTCGTCTCTCAGATTATTTATATTAGAATTTTATGTTCTTTACAGATTTTTATCTCTATTTTTATCATCATCATCATCTTCTGATAATGGCTCTAACTGGACTGGCAGGACTCACAGATATTACTGTATTTAGTGCAGAGGAAGAGTCACAAGACATATGAAATGCCCATTTTTATGTGAGCGCACTCAGAGCCTGAAGCCCAGTTTAACAGAGAAAGTTGATAACCAGTATGCTGACACCCATCATCTCTGACTGGGATTTTAAGTTTTGTTGAGCCAGCTAACACAGCAAAAGCCTGGATATCTTGAACTTCCTTGTACCTTCTGTTGTACCTCTAAACATAAACATGAGGCTACCATTTAATCTGTGAGCAGTTTGTTTGGCCTCCAGAGTTCACTGCAGAGCTGCACATGATATCACATGCGCCTCTAAACACACCTTAACCTCTAGATTTCTAATTTGTTTACAGCTGAGAGTCATCCCCCGCCCACCTCAGAGCCAATGAGAGCAGAGCTCCACCAACTTGACGTTTCACTTCCTCCACAGTGAGTTTGTGTGATTTCATTGACAGCTGGTCAAGGAGATGAGCGTCACACCTGGATTCATGTGTTTCATGAGTTTAGTTGCAGCAGCCTAACTGATCGCTTATTTGGTTTAATTGTGTTTTGATCACATGCTCATCCCCGCTATTCAATTCAACTCAATTATATTTATTCATCACCAAATCACAACAGTTGCCTCAAGGCGGATATTGTAATGTAGACCCTACAATATTACATACAGAGAAAAACCCAACAATCATATGACCCCCTATGAGCAGGCACTTTGGCGACAGCGGGAAGGAAAAACTCCCTTTTAACAGGAAGAAACCCCAGCAGAGGGAGGGGCCATCTGCCGCGACTGGTTGGAGTGAGAGCAGCAGGACAGGATAAAAGACATGCTGTGGAAGAGAGCCAGAGATTAATAACAAGTATGATTCAATGCAGAGAGGTCTATAATGTATAATGTAAATGTGTGGACCTCCACAATTAACCTTAGTGTGTAAAGAGGACTCTCCATTTACATGAACAAATTGGAGTCTATTAGATAGATATGATACAACCCACTGCAGCGCAGTACCTGTAATACCTACAGCATGCTCTAATCAATCATTTTAACAGAAAATTATGGTCACAACAGTATTGAACACTGCACTGAGGTCCAGCAGGACAAGTACAGAGATGAGTCCACTGTCAGAGGTCAGAGGCCAGTAATGGTTTAACTACAGCCGATTATTAGAGATAGATTGATCATATTAAAGATTGAAGCATTAATTAATGGCAGGACTTCTTTCAACAGTCTTGTAGGAATGGGGTCTAAAAGACACGTTGATGGTTTAGAGGAAGCAATTACTGAAGTTAACTCAGAAAGATCAATACACTGTTTAAATCCAGCTGTGATCTCAGGTGTTTCCAGGTGAGGTGTCATGTGACTGATCTCATTGATCTGTGTTGCAGTTTAAGCAGCAGAGAAGATTCCTCCCGTCTTTCTCTGCGACGTTTTTTCTCCACCGTCACACTGAGCAGGACTCGAACCAGCAGCCTCGACCGCCTCTGCTCACGGACCCATGAGCGAACCCACCCCTCCCTCGCTGACTCCACCTCCTCAATTTCCAGGAACTCCTCCAGCCTGGTGAAGAAAACTTTATCTGTTGAGTCGCTCAGTGTGGTAAGAACATGAATTATACATCTATCTATCTATCTATCTATCTATCTATCTATCTATCTATCTATCTATCTATCTATCTATCTATCTATATATCTATATATATATATATATATGGTGAGACTACTTCTTTAACCCATCTGTTTCCTGTCTGTTCAGCAGGAAGTACCACTTTTCCAGTCAAGAAAGTCATCTTTGGAGCTGAAGAAGAAGAAAGATCGTTCTGCGAACTATAAACCAGCTGCTGAACAGTAAGACACACACTTCTCTTTTCTACCCTGATACTCTTTTCTACCCCTGATACTTTCCAGCCCATCACAGCCTATCCACCTGTTTGTCTCTCAGGTCCTTACCTGGTAGTCTTGGCGTCAAAGACATCAGTTGTCCCTCTTCAGTTTGCTCTGTTGGGCGGATTCTTCAGATTTGCCCTGATGGGACATTTTTATTGGAGCTTAAGCGACCAGTGGGTCAGACGTTTGGCTTCATCATCAGCAGAGGAAGAGGACGACGTGACACTGGTACTAACTCTACCGACACTTCCCCTAATACTTAATATATATAAGTATTTTCACCTTACTAAATGGTAAATGGCCTGTATTTGTATAGCGCTTTTACTAGTCCCCCTAGGGACCCCAAAGCGCTTTACACACCCAGTCATCCACCCATTCACACACACATTCACACACTGGTGGAGGGAAGCTACAGTTGTAGCCACAGCTGCCCTGGGGCAGACTGACAGAAGCGAGGCTGCCATATCACGCCATCAGCCTTTCTGGCCAACACCAGTAGGCAGTAGGTGAAGTGTCTTGCCCAAGGACACAACGACCGAGACTGTCGAACCGGCAACCTTTCGATCACAAGGCGAACTCCCAACTCTTGAGCCACGATCGCCCCACTGATACTACTGATATCATCTTAAATACTACTCCATCCATCCATCCATCCATCCATCCAT